GAATTGCCTATGCTTAATTCTTTCTAAAAACTGAATAACGAAAATAAATTTTAATTCATGTCACGTAATGCATAAATATGTACTAAATAATACGGCAGAAAAATGCATTATACAGTATATACTGTAGTTTCCATTTGCTATTATAATTATATAGAAACAAATTCTATATAAAGTAATCAAATAATTAACTCACGCTGCTCCAAGTTCACTAGAAGAACAAGGTGACTTTGTGTCAAACATGACAGGAAAGGTATAAATTCCCCACGCAAAAGTGCGTGGTTCATCTTGACGTGATGAAAGATGAATAGATATCGTGACATTTCCATCTGGATTTTGCTGATGAAAAGTTACATTGCCTACAATTCCTGCCATATTGAAAGGTGCATGAACTGTAATCGATGCCAGGCAAACTGCAATTAAAAAAAAAAAAGATTAAACAATTTTTCTCTATATAATAAATAAAAGGTTATTGAACTGGAAGAAATACTGAATAAAATGTTAACACCATTAAATTTTATAAAGTTTAGGCGATTGATTCGTATTTTCATGAATTAAGTATTTGCACGTTTAAAGTATTAAAGCACCTTAAACGTGTAAATTGGTTCATTGTTCTGTTATTGTTCCTTACTATGTGATGCATACTTAGTCATTTAATGACTCAAGTCAATTGCTATCTCGATTCTAGATAAACAGAAACAATAAAATGTAAAATAAAAATCTTTATATAGTTTGTTTCTACATCACGTTTAAAAAAGTTTATAGACTACTGTATAGTCCTACAAATTTCATATTAAATTTTATCAATTTACAGAAAATTAATTCTTACAAGAAATTTGTATTCTCCTATATTTTATATTAAAATATAGAATAATAGAAATTTTTATATCATTAAACAAAGTTTAAATTTATTATATTTATAATAAAATATTCATAATTTTATGTTAAGCTTACAAACTTTCAAAACTGTATTAACAAAGATTATAAAAGTATAATTAATCAGTACGGATTCATTCTATATAAGTTAATTAGAAAATTAATTTTCGATTACTTATATTTTGATATCTTAGAACTTTAGAATTTTTATAATAAATTTTATATTAAAAAATCAATATTACTTATTAATGTAATAAAATTTGAGATTTAACATATTCTATAAAAGCAATTGAAAAGTCAATTTAATTAATTGATTATTATTTTTAAAAAATACAGATTAGCTTTTTACTTTAAAAATATATGACATCTGTATTTTCGTTTTAAAAATCAATTTAAAAAAAAATTTCATGCAAAAAAGCAGAAAATTATTCTTTTCAAGCAGGAAAAAAAATCTAATTAGGAAAAAACATAACTAATAATTAATAAAAAATATATCTGCATTGATATTTTACTAGAGATTATTTTTAGGTAATTTGTTCATATACGATACAGTCAGTATATGCATATTTTTACATACAGTACTTTAATATAGTTCTGGCATAAATATATACACTGTGTTTCAATTTTATTTTACCATTATAAATTTTTTTCATTGTTTTAAAAATTTTTTGTTATATTTTTAATTTACTTTTATTCGAGTAATTTTATTCGTATTTTTAATTTGAGAGGTTGTCTCCGATCATTATAATATTACATATAATAAATAGATAAATTAAACGTACTGTACAAATAGAAAAATATGGAATTTTGATACCTAATTTCTCAGTAAAATTATATTTAATTTATTTTAAATGGTAACCACTCTGAAATTAGAAAATCTGAATAAAAAAATCAATGTTAATGGAGTTAATCTGCAAAGGATTATTGAATTCCTTAGCTGTGTACCATTAGCAATAGCAAAATTATATTTTGCACAATTGGCAATAAATGCTAGAACTTTTGATTTATTAATAGAAATAATTGCATGAGTTTTGCAAAAATTATCTGAAACCAATAGTTTCTGTTATCTATAAAATTCTTTTTACAGTTAAACGCATAAGTAGTTTAATATACTTAGTCAGTGTAAATAACATTCCTGATATAATGATAATATGATAATACAAAGTATAGGCTAATCCAAGTATAAGAATTCTTGCTATTTGTAGATGATTTTGTGCTGTCTCCTCCTACGACTCTAATTGAAATAAATGGATAAAAATGCTAAATAAATATAAAATTTAACTTATAATTATTTATTTAACACATTAAACGCAATTCTAAATAAAGAATCACAAACACTAATTTAATAAAAATAAAGTTAAGCATTAAAATTTAAAATAAGAAAGAGTAACATAAGAGAACAAACTAGGCTAAACTTTAGAAAAATATATATAGGCCTATATATATTTAGAATGGAAATGATACAATTGTAAAAATGTGATTTCAGTTATGTAATATAGAACATACATTTACAATTTAACTAGTAAACATTATATGGAATTTTTACAATAATATCAATTTTTTTTTCATTCGCTTCTTAAATCAGGAATTATATGAAGGGAGAGACGAACTTTAAAAATGATTTATTTTTGCGTAGATTTACTAAATATATTTAGTACGTGTAATGAAATTAACTTATAAGAATTAAATATAAATTGAAAATAAATAAATTTTGATTTACAACAACGTTTAATAAAATTTATAATTCATCAGAAACACGAAACAAGGAAATAAAAGTTGCTAAATAAATGTTATGTGAATCGGAAATATTACAACAAAATATTAATATATTGTCATCTCATCTCGGAAATTTCAGATACTTCCTAACGTTATTTTTGGTCATTTTTAACCAAAACTGGAGACTAGAACTAAAATAACTTTCCTAATCATTCTAACATACTAAAATTAATTTTGCTAAATTATCCTGCTTTCTATTATAAAGTAAGAATCTACTGTATTCTAAATATTAATATTATATAATCAATTCCATTCGAGCCATATTGATACGGCTCGAA